ATTTTGTATGTGAAAATTGAGAATAAACAAATATGAACGACTCCCACAAAAAACTACTTTTTTGCATTATTTGTTAGTAATAAACATAATTAAGCTTCATCGATATTTCAATGTCCTGACTACGTTTGAAGCATTTAGAACAAATGTGTCAACTCAACAAATGGTTTTGAGGGCGAAAACGTGCCTTTACTATTTCGACCAAAAATGACTTTTTACATATTTTACAGTATTATAATTAATGACTTTTTACATATTTTTACAGTTATATTATTTCTTTATTCTACAGAAAAAATCAAAATAGATTGGTTATTTAAACCAAAACGTTTATGTCAAATTATCATTATCATCAAAAATAAAAAAGCAAATGGCACACTTTGGCTCTCAGGGGGGAAGTTGTTATGCTGTATTTTTTTCATTTGATTCTTTCAAAAAACTTTTCGTAAAATTATTATATTTTCTTGTTTATGTTATGAAAAGTTTTTAAATTATTGAAATTCAGAAATATGTAAATAATCAATTAGCCAGACCCCTGACATGTTTATTGCAATTTACGTGTCTGACACATTTATGTTTATTTACGTCACATGTATGACAACGTGATTATTATCATTAATTTTATCTACGACATTTATTTGAAGTTTTCTTATCTGATTATCTGTTTGACTTAAAGAAAGGAATTAACGGCCGCTGACTTTTGACATCTGGCGTGTTAATCAGTCTTAATCGAACCATTTTTATTGGTCAAATCTTTAATTTCATATTTGATAAAATGTATTTTCATTGGTTAATATTTTCCTGTTTAAGGGTCATTTTTTCATTGGCTAATTATTGAAACCTTTGTTACATTTATTTTTGTATTAAAGAAAGAGACATAACTTTTGGATATAGAAGAATTCAGGCAGTAAGACACTTAACATGTGACGGTTTAAGTTTTAAAGTGTTAGTGCCGCAGTTTTCTGCGGTACATTTTGATGTACATACGAGAAGTTATCACAACCGGTTGTAACTGTTATTGTAAATATAAATACACTAAAAAAAAGAAAACTATATTAAAATAGAAAAATGGACTTACTGAGTTTTGTGTTTAAGATGCCAAAAGGATTTTTTTAAAAATAAATACCAAAGATGAATAGATAACTAATAATTACATGTTAACGGATTATTACACTACAGAGAAAATACGGCACAGGAATGTTTTATTAATTTGTTAAAGAATATTATGGACACGGAAACCAAGCCTACCCCCACCACCGTAAACCCCGCATCACAGAGTTATCGTAAATCTTATCTTTTCAAAAATAATATATACAACATGCCTGAGTTTCTTATGTTGTTCACAAGGTATATGTAAGTGAACTTTTATTAATATCCGCTTAATTACAAATGGTTCACAAAATCTCCCAAACATGTATTTGTTTATAAATTTTTGCCGTAGCCACAAATCAAATAGGCTTTTCAACATGATTGACAGATACTATTTAAGACTTTATATCTCTTATTCGTTTCATCTTTTTGATAAAGCCATTCAATCAATTCCCCTTCATACTTTCTTCTTTCCCGTATCCGTTTCATCTCGGTCATGGGCAGGTCCCTTGGACGGGCCCCACGATACTTGTTGAGAGAAACGGCTTTCTAACTTTGCTACGTTTGAATATAACCTTCAGAATTCTTTTCGATTGACACCACCAGTCTTTTTTTCAAAACCTAGTATCAACAAATGAATAAAGGCATATCTCGCTTTTTAAATGGCCAAGAAAAAAGTTGCATGCTTATAATGCCCAAAATATTCTACTACGTTTTCGTTGACATCCAAAAGTGTCTGAAGTTTGACAATCAGTTCTTCATCTTCGATTTCATGTTGAGAGCTAGAGCTTTTGTCAGCTTCAGGTGAGAAATAAATTTTGTAAGTCCAGTTGCTTCCTTTTTTAGCACCGGTAGCAGGTACACTTGAATAACTCATATCTAGCAATATAAAAACATTTGATAATAATATCATAATGGTCAAACAAGATTTACATCATTAGTTGATTAGAAAAAAAAGTATTTCAATATATAGTGCCATAATGATCAAAGGAAAAACGAATCTGTTATCGAAATAAATGCATAAACCAATAAACCAATTAAAACTCAGTTATGATTGATTAAATGCAAGCATATAGCCTGAACTTGATTTATTTAACTTTTCTTCATTTCCAACTTGAACTAAGTCAAATTGGGCTACCGTTTACAGCCCTGAAATCCTCATTTTTTTTGAATATATCAGGATAAGTTAAATGGATGCTAACTTGAAAACATGCCCCAAAAAATGTCCATACGTGCCAATGAATGTAATTTTTACTTCGTCATACTCACATTTGTTAATAACGTTAAGGACACATTAAACGTCCGAAATAGATTTTCTTTTAGAATCTGTAGAGGATTAAAATCATTTAAGATGTTTATAGCCTGCTACGATGGTGTGATTTTTTAAAGGAGCACAATTAAGGTCAAATAGCCAAATCATAACATTTGAAGTTCTTTCATAGATCAAGTGATGAACTTATTATAAATTAAAAAAAAATCTGCAATAGGTGATAAAGAAATGTAATCAGCTTTATATTGAAATCGGTTTATTGTGCGTTTTTAAACCATGCTTGAGTGAAAAACATTGCCTCGCATTTCATTGTTTTTGGTAATTTTGCACGATAAAAAAGTTATTCTGGGAAAAGGGAGTCAAGGAATGAAATTTTGCACACAAGTTACCTACATTAAAATAATATAATAAAATAAATATAAACACAGGTTTTGAATAATGTTTTCCAGTATTGTTCTGGCCATAAAACTCTTTAGTGGTAGCCCAATATAAACAAATGATATAAAAGTATTTACATAATAAGTGATATTTTGACTTTATACTAAACACTTTATTTCTGAATTACTTTATCTATACTTATTGTCAACAAGGAAAACAATTACAGATGACTCAGTTATACACCCAATGAATTAAAGTTTGCAAGCTGTAACAAGACACTGTAAAAAGGGGTTTTGAAAAGTGCAAATTTAAGCATTTTTTAGGCTTAATTGGACTTTTATTAATCTTTGAAAGATAGTTCACAATTAAATGAGCAGCCATAATATCTAAACTTAAAACTATGGTTCAGCAAATTTACATTTTTTATCATAACAGGCACCGTTTCAGTTTTTATAAAATGTATTCTTTTATATTTTCGTGTTTTGAAACCGAAAGTCATCCTACTACAGTCAATATAGCTTTTAATTCTTTTGGTAAGGAAACAAATAACTTATCTTGCATAATTGATTTTTACGGGAATTTGTTGAATAACCTTTATTAAATGAATAGGGGAAAGACGAAAATGAAATAAAAGCAACTTACCGGACTGTTTATTTCCTTGCTATGGAAGAGTATTTCTTCTTTATGATTGCTTTATGACACTGTATTTTCAAATATTTTACTTCCGTTTTAACTATCTAAAATAACAAATCGATAATCTGTACAATGTATATAGTTTCGTGTAATGAATGGAGGTCTTTAAATAGAATTGTTTGAAAACATGTCTGTTATAAAACTGAAACTAACTACACTATATAATATAAACTCTTCTTATTATTCTTTATTTTTACTTTAACGGGTAGACTTATTTCTTAGTTCTTTAAAATAATATCAATTAGGGGTGTCACGTGTGTCCGTTTAAACGGGTACGGTCGGTTTTCCCTGTCAAGTACAGACCCAGAACATGACTCTAAGCATGCTCTTAAAATGTTAATTCTGAATCACAAAGTGGTGATTATATACGTGCATGTAATTTGCACGAAATATTAGCCACAGATATGAATTTTGAACCAAAATTTAGGTCAGTGTGAACCTTAATGTACAGTAACCTGAGACAATATAAACTTTATTCAATGCACAAACTTCGATTAGATTGCCTTGCGCCGGTGTTAAACACTAGAAAATCCAATCTTATATTTAATATATGACTTGACACAATATACATATTTCTTTTATCATTTTGTTAATATGTATCAAATCTGAATTAAGCTATTAGAAAACAATCCCACATCGTAGTTGTGCACGAAAATCCGATCCCTCGGAACTATTTTTCACAACAAAAGACTTGCAGACTCGGTTTGAATGTGTCTGTCCATGAGGGATAATAAAAAGAGCAACATAAAAGCGTTACAAAATGAATGACATCAAAGAGAAAGAACAGTTACCTATTGTATCTCTAGCCAAATTATTACTGTCCCGTGAGAGCGGAAGTACGGACAAACGGAAAGGCGGCGACTATATGCTCTTCCTTCGGGGAGCATAAAAATAAAGTAATCGATAAAGACTAGCCAGAGGCAAAAGCAAATAGTAAGCAAAATTAGATATCCCAAGGAGAATGAAGACACGAAAAAGAATAAAAAAGGGAAAAGAGGTATATTGTCTCACTATCATGTCAAATAAATTGTTTTGTTTCTAAGATATAAATATGAACGTGCTTCAAAATAACTGCATTATCAATGTCTGGGATGTTGAGTTGTCAAATATTAGAATGTTCATTATAAAGATAAAGTAATAATGACTTTGCTTCTATAAAAATGTAGAGAAAAAATATTACGTGATACTAGTACATAATTCTTTAATTTTTGAAGCTTCGGCGCATTTCGTATATTAAGGGGTAAATTATTCAATTCACGTGTTGCAGTTGGGAAAACAGATTTAAGATATAAAGAAAGTTCGTGTATTATGCCGGTTGTATTATTTGAATGCGTTCAGTTATAGCGGTTGTGTGTTGGTCTGGTATAAGTAAGGACACTATCAGATATATACCAGGTGATTTACAGTTGTGTCTCTAGGGTCGAAACCAGACTGCACTGGTATAAGAATTCCATGTATGTGCAAGTAAAGACTCTTCGTACAGTATTTAAAAAAGAAACAGGTCTATAATTGTTGGCAAGAGATCAATCACCATTTTTGAAATAGTAGTAACACAGGCGTCCTTCCAAAAGGATGGTACTTCACAAGATGATAAAGAGGTGTTTAAAAGATCGGTCGGATGGAGTACTATTAACAGGAAACAAAACAAATTGCATTTTTGTTGTTTTATAAATTTATACCATAATATCAGCAGCTGAAGAAGACCATGTCCTGTTTTGTTCGAGGTGCTCTTAAATTACCGGAAGGAATAGAGATAAACTATTCTTCAAGAATATCCAGAAAATATACGTATTATATATTAAGACAATTATTCATGAGATGCCGAAATTATTATCCCATAACCAGTCAAGGAATCAATCTAACAGTAATAGTAAATATAAATGTCGTATGGTTCCTTTTTCATATGTATGAATGGTCTGTTTATGTCTGTAAGGACATAAACATACGCCCTGATAAATAAATAAACAAGCAAATTCGTTGAATTTATATCCCCCGCCGAGTACTGCTTATTATTAACACAACAACTGAAGACATAAGGCTTTATTTATATATTAATCAAGGCATAAACAGTAATATTCTTTGAACTTGATAAATATTCAGGGCAATAACAGAGCCATAACTTTGTGTTAAATAGTAAAATCTGGAAACGCCAATGAGATGTATGCATACTACATAACTAATCAAGGGCCATAAATCTGAGTTATAAGTATCTGACTGGAACAAGGCGACTATTTGCACATCTCCTCTTAGTATCCCATAAAGTTTCATTGAATTCCAGCCAGTTGTAGCAGAGAAGTAGCGAGGAAACAAATATTTTTCTATATGGATACTGCATAACTAATCAAGGGCCATAACTCTGAGTTAAAGTGTCTGACCGGAACAAGCCGACGATATGCGCATCTCCTCTTGGTATTGATGATTCCCATAAAGTTTTGTTGAATTCCAGCCAGTAGTTGCAGAGAAGTAGTGCGGAAACGATTTTTACTCTATATGCATACTACATAACTAATCAAGGGCCATAACTCTGAGTTAAAGGGTCTGACCGGAACAAGCCGACAATAATGCGCATCTCCTCTTGATATTGATGATTCCCATAAAGTTTCGTTGAATTCCAGCCAGTAGTTGCAGAGAACTACTCCGGAAACGATTTTTACTCCATATGCATATTGCATAACTAATCAAGGGCCATAACTCTGAGTTAAAGGGTCTGACCCAAACAAGCCGACGATATGCGCATCTCCTCTTGGTATTGAAGGTTCCCATAAAGTTTCGTTGAATTCCAGCCAGTAGTTGCAGAGAAGTAGCGAGGAAACGATTTTTACTCCATATGCATACTGCATAACTAATCAAGGGCCATAACTCTGAGTTAAAGTGTCTGACCGGAACAAGCCGACGATATGCGCATCTCCTCTTGATATTGATGATTCCAAGAAAGTTTCGTTGAATTCCAGCAAGTAGTTGCAGAGAACTACCCCGGAAACGATTTTTACTCTATATGCATACTACATAACTAATTAAGGGCCATAACTCTGAGTTAAAGGGTCGGACCGGAACAAGCCGACGATATGCGCATCTCCTCTTGATATTGATGATTCCCATAAAGTTTCGTTGAATTCCAGCCAGTAGTTGCAGAGAACTACTCCGGAAACGAAATTCGGACGGACGGATGGACAGACGGACAACGCCAAAACTATATCCCCCTCCCGATTCCATCGGCGGGGGATAATAAATAAGACAACAATTTCTGGCGCAAACCAATAGAAATATTTATATCAAAGTGCATAAATACAGATCCGAAATACATAAACGTCTTTAACGATCAATGGAAATATGCATGTTAATGAAACATAATGAATAACAACAATTACCTGTAAGGACATAAACATACGCCTTGATAAATAAATAAATAAATAAATAAATAAATAAGATAACAATTTCTGGCGCAAACCAATAGAAATATTTATATCAAAGTGCGCATGCGTGAGGTGGATTTTCCGGGAAGTTTGTAAAAGCCCGGCATGCAAATTATGTCAAAATGAAATATGAGAAATTAGTTGTCATATTGAGATGATGAAATGGAATGATATAGGAATGATATGGGATAATGGATTGTATATCGGACTGTAAACAGACAAATACAAGAGAGATATATATATACAAATACAAGGACAAAATGATACATAAAAACGATATACAAAAACACGAATATCGACCACATGACATACTTCCCCACTTTGGGGAATGTCGCCCCGACATTCATAAAATATTAAAGAGGAAGAGCTTGAATCAGACATTGCAAGTAGTAAGCTTAGACCATAAAGTAACTAAACTACTAGGTACTACATAACTAAATCTAAATACTGAAGGCAATTACAACCTGTGAGTAAATATATAATACCCGGGCAAAATACCTTAAACTCAAGCATGTTCCAGAAAAATACCGTATGCCGCGAATCGCGAAAAAATATATGTCACGCGGAAACAAAATTTTAATTTATCAGTAGAACTGTGAATTCATTGAAGAGGTGCACTCTCAACAATAAATCCTTTATTTTTAAAGTACTGTAAAGTACATTTATAAATTACCAAGGTAAAATATATGGTACATGGTATAAAACATAAAACGAAACACATCAGGTACTGAGCAACGCCTAACTTCAAAGTTGAAACACACCTAGACTATAAATCAAAAGAAAAAGCATTAATCTAATTTCCAGTTATCATTTAGCATCCATCCGGGTTTCTTTCTTGTACGTTTCTGCCTCTGTAAATTATTGTTGTTGTCCTTAGTTGGATTTCTCAGTGCAGGAATAACATATTTTGAACCTGTAACAGAATGAGAAGTTTGAGTTGTTGACGTGGCATCTTGTTTGCTGTTTGATGTTCCTGTAAAAGAAGTTGACATACAATTGTTAGAATCATGTATTGTGGAAGAATTGCTTTGTGAAACAGTTGATCGACTTGATGTAAGTGAGGCATTGGAATCTAACGGAGCTGTGATGGAAACATCAGAGGAGGGATGTAAGTCAGAGGAAGCTGGCTTGTATAAGGACTCAGTTGTTTTGCACAAAGGCATCCCCATAAAGGGAAGTAAAAGGTTCCTGTGCAAAACCCTGGACCTATCCTTGCTGTTTTCCTTCTTCACCTCATAGATGGGAATTCCAGAGGTGGGCTGGCTGAGAATGGTGTATACATCTTTTTCCCATCTATCGGCAAGTTTGGATTTTCCCCGAACACCTACATTTCGGACCAGTACTCGATCCCCGGGCTTCAATTCCGCTTCTCTCACATGGAGGTCATAGTACCTTATATGTTTCTTGCCTTGTTTCTTGGCCTCTCGGTGTGCAACAGAATATGCGAATTTTAGTCGGTTCTGGAGACCTGAGACGTTAGAATGGTCCTTGACAGGAGATTTGTCTGGTTCGATGCCAAGAAACGCATCGATGGCAAGCCTTGGGTGGCGACCAAATATGAGAAAGTGGGGAGAATAACCAGTAGAAGAATGGGGAGTAGAGTTATAGGCATGGACAAGAGCGGGAACATG